ATCGGCAAGGAGAATGGGCTTAGGGTTTAGGGTTTAGGGTTTAGGGTTTAGGGTTTAGGGTTTTGGGACTGCTAAGTCAGTATGGCTGACGTAGTATGGTGGCTACATGCGGCAGCCCTTCAGTACCCGAACAGGAGGATATCGACCGCTTGGAGTGCGTTTGCTGCTTCGACGTTTGCAGCGGTGCTCGGTGCATCATCATCGGCATCCCAGGTGTCCTGGACCATTGGCGAGCTTAGAAGGTTCGTGCTGCATCGTCGCGCTGACATACTCCTACTTAACGGGCTTGTAGCTGGAGTAGACCCTCACTGTCACCACTATGTCCTTCCCAAACTAAGGCTCAAATTGAAGCTTCGCTAAGGGGTCATAGCTGTAGCTGGACCTTCGTCGGGTGGGGCGATCGAGGCTTGCTGGGCGAGCGCTGTGTGGTGGGGCGAGTGGAGTCCCTTGGATGAACCACCGCCCAGGAATCGTAACCGGGACAGCCCCCTTCTCTCTCTAAGGGTAGTTTCATATGGGCCCGTAAAAAGGCCACCCCTTACATACCCCTTGTATACCCTACAAAGCCTCTTCAAGGGCAAGGGATCATATTAGGGGCCCCTGTGACTGCCCTGAGACCATCTGCCCAGCCGTTTTCAGATTTTCGGGAATCCCTGCCATCCTGTAGCTGAATGGGCTTGGATGTTCGCATAGTATTGACGCTCAAGTCCTTGCATAACCCCGTGTACAGTAACCCATGAAGATCTAAGCCGCACAGAGCTCCAAAATCGGCAGAGCCCCAAACCCCCAATGCTGCGGTTTACGGTTTAGGGTTTAGGGTTTAAGGTTCAGGGTTTAAGGTTTAGGATGTAAGGTTTTTGGCTTAAGGTTTAAGGTTTGGGGTTTAAGGTTCAAGGTTCAGGGTTTTATGCCCTCCTCAGGAAGAACCAGGCAGAAAGTTTCGCCGTGGTCTACGATGCGAAGGGCCTCCGGCGCCAGGTGCACGTGTCGTGCCTGGCGGCAGCTTGCAGCAATCGTGGAGATTACAGGTGATCTCCCCGTTGAGGGTTAGGGTTTAGGCTCGTTATGGCTCGTTTAGGTTCTGCGAGTGTGCCCGGAGGGTAATTTGGAGCCTGTGGGGTCTAACCTAATTTTGGGTGCCAGACACCAACGGTCCAAGGCCTCGGCGGATTTCAACCAACCATTCAGTAAATCCTAACCCCTCACCCCTAACCCCTCACCCCTGAACCCTAAACCCTAAGCCCTAAACCCCTCATCCAGGAGGGAGGCACGTCTTCTTTCCTGGTTGGATTGAAGGGGTCCTTACTTGGACTTAGTAACCCAAGTATAACTGTACTTATAACCAAAGTAGCCTTGGGGCACTTAAGGGGCTTCTAAGTGGGTTACATAAGCAGTACTCTGTTTAGGGTTGAGGAGGACTATGTTCACGGCAGTTAGACTGTAGCTACAGCTACCCCACTCAAAGCCCTATTGATACCTACCCATGAGCCTCCTAGGTTTACCATAGATGGCCTATTTCTACTTGCAAATATCTATCCATGACCCTCCTAGTAGGCCCCAAACCCTGGTCCCTCTTCCTTAAACCTCTAAAACCCGATACCCTGCGCGAAGCCTGCTATGGCACGGCGTGAAGCCCTACGACTCTCATTCTTCCTCTTTCCCCTGCAACCCTCAAGCCCTAGACCCTAGACCCTAGACCCTAAACCCTAAACCCTAAACCCTAGACCCTAAACCCTAAACCCTAAACCCTAAACCCTAAACCCTAGACCCTAAACCCTAAATCCCGTTAGGTAGACGACTGCCTCTCCTCTGGCCGTACCTCTCGCGGGGATCCTTGCCCCTCAAAGGCCTGAGCGTGTTAGGCCTTTTGTCAAGCCGAGGCTTTAGGGTTTAGGGTTTAGGGTTTAGGGTTTAGGGTTCAGGGTTTAGGGTTTAGGGTTTGGGGTTTAGGGTTTAGGGTTTAGGGTTTAGGGTTTAGGGTTTAGGGTTCAGGGTTTAGGGATTGGGGTTTGGGGTTTGGGGTGTAGGCTTTGGGGTTTAGGGTTTAGGGTTTAGGAGAATCTTGTTGGATCTCTGGAGCCAGGTAGTGGACGGCGGAGCGAAATATAGTTTCTACGGTAAATCAAACTTGAAACCCAAAGTGCGTACCCCCAAGAGGTTCCTTTAATATACTCCGATCATGGCCCTTTATCTTCGCTACGGAATATTCGAAAAGGGTCCCACAAAATCCAAGGGCACAACCTTAAGGGTCCAAGGTACAACTCCTAGATCTCGGAGCTTCTACCATCAACGATCTGTCGGTGTTGTTTGCCGCCAGGTTGGCCACCCTCAACCTTAGCGTCGCATCGAGGTTTCAGGGGTTTGAACAGCAACAGCGCTGTGTTGCACGCTAGTGAAAATTCGCTCAACTCGGGGGGCATAGGGCTTGGGTCAGGCTTTTCGTGCTCCAGAAAACCTCCGCAGTCCTAACCCTAAGCCTTAAACCCGAAACCCTAAACCCTAAACCTCTGCAGCCCTGGCAGGGCGAGCGATTAAGTCTGGGGCTTGGAGTGGCAAGCTCCCTGGACTGCAGCCCTCAGCCCTCAGCCCTCAGCCCTCAGCCCCCAGCCCTCAGCCCTCAACCCTCCACCCTCCACCCTCCACCCTCCACCCTCCACCCTCCACCCTCCACCCTCCACCCTCAACCCTCAACCCTCAACCCTCAACCCTGGCCCCTAAACCCCAAACCCTAAGGCTCGGTTGTTAAGATGGCCCAGTGTCTTGGGCCTTGTGCCTAAATCTGATCAGAACTCTCAACTCTAAACCCTATCATTCCCGACAAGCCCCCCAAAAAAGCCGATAAATGAAGTGTAGGGCTTAGGGTTGGAATGTCCCCGGAACCCGAAGGCTCGGAAACTTGGACCCAGCGCACACTGAAACGTGCCCGCATGCGGTGACTCGTGGCAGCCATCTGGGAATGGCTCTTGTAGGCTTGGCGTGCCAGGGACCAGAAGGTAACTTGGAACCCTGAACCCTAAGTGTCGGCACCAGAACAGCTCGACTGCTGACCTCCCGGACTGGAGCTGTGGAACCTTCAGCCAGTCTACACCCTAAGCCCCACTCCCTAAACCCTAAACCCTAAACCCTAAACCCCAAACCCCAAACCCTAAACCCTTAGGTAGGGTGTACGGGATGTCCCCCATCCACAGCAAGCTCGTACCACCCAGGCCTGGGTTGCGCCTGTGTTGCCTGGACGATACTTGAGGGGCGTTTAGGGTTTAGGGTGTAGGGTTTAGGGTTTTAGGGTCTAGGGTTTAGGGTTTAGGGTTTAGGGTTTAGGGTTTAGGGCATTCAGCAAGTCCAGGTGTTCTAAACAGGGGTTTTGTGTTTCTTTGTGCTTGCCTTCAGGGGTGCCCTTGAACATTGAAACAGAAAGGTGAAGGGAAAACTGAAGCTAGCGGGGAGGGCACCCTACCAAGATCTGCATTGCAAATCTCCGGAATACCGGGTTACCGTCCGAGAATCAAGGTCCTTTGGTGAACCACAGCTCGTTTGGGATCTTTCCCATGATTTGGACATGTCACAGGCAGCTCCATAGAGGCGACAGGTCCCGAATTCTGCCGTGGATAAAGCCAAGGTGGTCAAGCAGGCCATGGATGAAATGCTCCCTGGCTTCTTTGGGTGTTGCTGGAGTTTTTCTTGTACCCTGTACCCAAAACCCTAAACCCTAAAACCCTAAAACCCTAACCCTAAACCCCTAAAACCCTAAAACCCTGAACCCTAAACCCTAAACCCTAAACCCTAAACGCTTGCGAAACAGGTGGGAAAAAAACCCCTAAACCCTAAACCCAACTCCATGAGCCTTTGGGCGGCTGGATTTCTGGTTTGAGTCAAGAGAGTTGATATGCCAGCATGCACCGTGCTGTCCCACACTGCCACAGTCAACTCAGGCATTGGCCCTTCCATAGGGTTTAGGGTTTACGGTTTAGGGTTAGGGTTTAGGGTTTAGGGTTTGGGGTTTGGGGTTTAGGGTTTAGGGTGTTAGGGTTTTTCAGAGGAGAGAGAGAGAAAGAGAGAGAGAGGTCAGGGCGCCCATCCCCTCCAGGTATGTGGAGCAACTGGCAATGCCGTTTGACTGGCTGGTTTCGCGCGTAGAGGGCGTCCTCTACTTCTTCCGGCATGGCTTCCGAGACTTCACGCACTACGACGATGCACAGGCAGTGGAAAACTGGAGCCCTGAACCCAAAACCCTGATGAAGCCACAGCTTCTGGCGTCCGAGTTTAGGGGCGTCTCCCCATGCCCGAGATTGAGCAAGGTGCCGTAACCAGAAACCTATTGCAGAGGGTGTGTTGAACAGTGTGTTGTGCTACTTGTCCTAACGGGACCTGAGACCCCTGAGCTGAACCCTAAACCCTAAACCCTAAACCCTAAACCTTAAACCCTAAACCCTGAACCCTAAACCCTAAACCCTAAACCCTAAACCCTAAACCCTAAACCCTAAACCCTAAACCCCAAACCCTGCCAAAAGGCCCCGTCCTCCCCCCAACGATTGGCATCTTCTGGTGAGATTCTAGCATGCCCCAAGGCCTTAAGGCCTTAAGTCAGGTTTAGGCAGGGTTTAGGGTTTGGGGTTTGGGGTTTAGGGTTTAGGGTTTAGGGTTTAGCTAAGAACCCTACATATACCTACCCATTCCAAGTAGGGTTCAGGGCTCGTTGCGTGCTTAACCCCGAGTTCCATGAGGGCACGCTGCAATGCCAGGATGCCCCCCCTACTGCCCTCGCCATCCCCTAAACCCTAAACCCTAAACCCTAAACCCCAAACCCTAAACCCTAAATCCTAGGGGGGATTCCGAACTTGGGGGTACCTTGCTGGGGTCCGTTTTGTATAAGGGGATCCTACTACTTGCGGATCTATATTGGGGGTCCCGCTATTTGGGTAAGCCCCCCTATCACTCGGCTCAAGAGGGCTTAGGCTGCAGTGTTGACACTCGTCGACGTGCTTGGGCCGTCTAAGCGCAAGATGTATCAGAACGCCACGACGCTCTATCACGCGACCAGCAGGGTGGCAGCTGAGAGCATCCCGATCTGCACATATGAGGGTTTCCGAAAAAAGGAGTACCCTTTTCGGGGGTTCCTCTAAAAAAGAGCTAGTTATCGCATTTGGGTAGTGTTTGGGGTATATTAGGGGTCCCCCCTAGTCTGGGGCACTCCCATATGCGCGTGTCTGTGCCCACAAGGTTTTAGGGAGCCTACGTTAAATGTCTGAGGATGGGGACGTAAGAAGGCTTGTTAAGTTTGCGCCACCTGCTCATGCTTGGAGGTTCATGGGTACTTATAACCCCAATGATGAGTAGACTTATAACCTACTTGGAGGACTTCCTGGGAGGTCTCCAAAGGTCAGACGGTTCCTTTTGACAGGTTTGCGCAGAACCCTACTGACGGGACCCAACTGTGTGAGACAGGGGGTGAATACCAAGATGCATGGGCAGTGCAAAAATGGGCTAGCAAGTAGGGGTAGCTATAGGTACAGCTGTTCAAAACCTTTTTGGGGGTACCTATAACCCGACTGGCAACTACCCATGACCCTCCAAGTGTTTAAGCTGCACGAACGGGGCCTGCTAGCCAGAGGCATCGACCGAGAGAGGCGGATGCATCCTGGTACACGTGGCTTTGCTGGTGGTGCCATCTACTTCTCGAGGGATCCTTGGGCAGCCTGCCGAAAATGCCAGCATGGGCGGGGTCATGCCGAGGTCATCATTGAGTGCGCCGTGAGCCTGGGAACATGCAAGGTTGCCACGAAGAACAGCGTTACGATGCGCAACGCCGTCCGTCAAGGCTTTGACTCCGTGATGGTTGCCAGCCTCGACGTTTATGCGGTGTTGGATTCCAGCAGAGTGCAGATTCTCCGGTTCCAGCAAGTCGGCGGGGTTGAATGGTTCTGGAGCATGGAGGAACTGCGCGACTACTACGAGCCGCGGCCGAAAGACAAGGATGTGCCACCATCCAGCAGCTTCGGCTGGATGGCGCTCCTTGGTGGGTTGTGCGTACTTGCCTTCATCCTCGTCAAGAGGTAGACGAGCTCGGGGAGCTCGGCGACCTTGGCACCAGAAGCTCTACTTCCTGAGCCGGAGTCGTAAACCCTAAACCCTAAACCCTAAACCCTAAACCCTAAACCCTAAACCCTAAACCCTAAACCCTAAACCCTAAACCCTAAACCCTAAACCCTAAACCCTAACCCTAAACCCTAAACCCTAAACCCTAAACCCTAAACCCTAAACCCAAAACCCAAAGAGCCCAGATGTTTTCATTCATCCTATAGGTGTCAGCCCCTCAGTGCTGGAACGTCTGAAATCTCCTTACCAGGGCTTGAGGCGTTCGCTGCATGACTTTGCCAATCGCTGACAAAGAGTGAAAAAACACATGCTGTCTTTTTGCTGGTTCCTGCTTTTGGGCAATGTTAGTTCTACTCTAGGGCATGCAGGAACATGCAGATGTCAGAAGCTTCGCCCCAAAAGGTCAAATGCCGGCCAAAATGACTAGGGAAGATGGTGCATTCTAAATCCAAGCGTCTTCCCCGAATTAAGGGGTAGTGGGCCGTTCCTATCCAAGCGGCTTCGCAACTTTGAATCCGAATTTGTTGTGGCCCCAGACACACCCCCAAGCCCCCCCAAAAAGACCCTAAAACCCTTTAATCTGAATTCTGAAAGCCAGAAATAAAGCCTTAAAGCCTCAGAACCGTAAAGCCTTAAAGCCTTAATGTCATTAAAGCCTTAAAGCCTTAATGTCATTAAAGCCTTAAAGCCTTAAAGCCTTAAAGCCTTAAAGCCTTAAAGCCTTAAAGCCTTAAAGCCTTAAAGCCTTAAAGCCTTAAAGCCTTAAAGCCTTAAAGCCTTAAAACGCCTTAGAGCCATAGAACCTTAAAGCGATAAAGTTAAACTTCGAACGCCTTAAAGCCACAAGCTCTGAGAATCTCAAGAAGCCTAAGCCCTAAACCCTAAACCCTCAACCCTCAACCCAAAACCCTAGACCCTAAACCCTAAACCCTAAACCCTAAACCCTAACAAGCAGGTGGTCGGAGAGCATGGATACACGTCTTTCCGCTCTGCGTACCACGCTTTCCCGCACCACGACCTCTCCACAGGAGCCGAGCACCCAAAGAAACCGGGTTTGGGGTTTAGGGTTTAGGGTCAAGGGGTTAGGGTTAGCCGAGGCCCTCAACCACAAGCCCTGGTTTAGGGTCTTGGGTCCAGTTGCCAAACGGGTTTGGGGCTTAGGGTTTTACATGCAGAGTGCAACCACAACCCCCTAAATGCCAGAAGCCCGAAACCCTAAATGCCCCAAACCCTAAACCCTAAACCCTAAACTCTAAACCCTAAACCCCTAACCCCTAAACCCTAAACCCCTAACCCCTAAACCCTAATTGAAAGGCAGCTCGAAGACAGCGTTCCAGCGCCGCGGCGAGCGGCTGTTGGAGCTTTTCGGCCCCTGCAAAGTTTTTTGTAAACGGGCTTGGGGTTTAAATGGGGGGAGGGGGGTTGGGTTTAGGGCTTAAGCGTTTGGGGTTGGGGGTTTGGGGTTTTGTGGTTAGTTTTTCTTATGTTTCTTCTTCCCTCTTGTGTTCTGTTTTTGGGCGTTCTGCTGTCGGGTCTGAGGTTAAGGGTATACGGAGGGCTCCGTTTTGGCAAATGTACATTCTGTTTGGATTTCTTTTTGGCTCGATTCAGGTGTTGGGGTTTCCTTGCCCATACAGGTTTTTAGGGCTTGGAGGTCATGGATTGAGATGTTCCCCTTTATGCGAACAGTCCTTAACAGGGATTGTAGTAACCCTAAACCCTAAACCCTAAACCCTAAACCCTAAACCCTAAACCCTAAACCCTAAACCCTAAACCCTAAACCCTAAGCCCCCTAGGACTGAGAGTATAAGGGGGAACATCCCAAGTGGTGGGGCTCGGGGGTCTTGGGTTTTGGGGGCTGAAGGTTTAGGGCTCATTTTTGCCGACTAGTAATAAAAGGTTATAAGGAGGGACCCTTAGAAGGGACCCTTTGCCCCAATATAACCCCCACATATACCTTATATAGTCAAATAACCCTAAACCCTAAACCCTAAACCCTAAACCCTAAACCCTAAACCCTAAACCCTAAACCCTAAACCCTAAACCTAGAATTGAGACTGAGGCTCGTGAAGGCCTGCACCGAGGCGGCTTCCAGACCTTTGCGGCTTGGCGGTTCGATGGGCAGATCTTCAATTTTGGGTTTGGGCTTCAGGGTTTGGGGTTTAGGGTTAGGGGTTCAGGGTTTAGGGTTTAGGGTTTAGGGCTTAGGGTTTAGGGTTTAGGGTTTAGTTAGTCCTCAAGCCCAGTCTCCAAAGGCTTAGGGTTTAGGGTTGAGGGTTGTTGTGTAGGGTTTCGGGTTTAGGGTTTAGGGTTTAGGGTTGAGTGAGGTTACTGGAAGGGTTCATGGATTTCAGGGTAGTAGGGAGTAGGCTGTTTAGGGTGTACAAGGGTTTGGGAGGTGGCAGTACTTCAGGGCCCAGGTTCAAAAAGGGCGCAGGGTGATTTCATCATCGGAGGGGTTTAGGGTTTAGGGTTTAGTAAGTTTAGGGTTTAGGGTTTAGGGTTTAGGGTTTAGGGTTTAGGGTTTAGGGTTTAGTAAGTTTGGGGTTTAGGGTTTAGGGGTTTTCTCGTGCCCAACTTAGACGTGCTCCAAATGTCCAAGCCGTAAACCCTACACTAAACCCTAAACTCTGACTCAGCTAGGCGGGCGGCAAAGAAAGCCCTAAACCCGTATTGAAAAAGCAGGGTGAAGGCTCCAAGTTAGAGGGAATCTCACATCATCACCATTTTGCGCCCCCAGCCCCCCTTCCCCCAGGCTGTTGATCCGGGTCTGTGCGCGGTCAGAGGAGCTGGACTCCAGCGAGGCGCGCCCCCTCCGCGCGCCTCCTCAATGTGAGGTAAGAGAGGAGTAGATGTCAGGGTTAGCCCTAAAGCCCAAACCCGAAGCCCTATGCCCTATGCCCTAAACCCTAAACCCTAAACCCTAAACCCTCAACCCTAAACCAGTCCCGTGCTGAGAAAGCTGAGAGGTCAGCTAAGCAGGTGGCAAAAGACCTTAGACCCTAAGCGATGCAAGGCAGCATCAGCAGCTGCAACATCTGAGCAGATGAGCCTTCCCCACCACGCCCGGAGGCTCCCTAAGCTTCCCGAAGCCTGGGTGGGTTTAGGGTTTAGGGTTTAGGGTTTAGGGTTTAGGGTACCTACCCTAGGACCCGAGAGCTCAATGAAGTGCCACAGGAGCTCTATGCTCAGCTCCGGCTATTGGGTGGCCAGAAGCTTTTCCTGCTGGTGCCGTGGCGCGGGCTTGTGCCGGGGTCAGGGCTTGACAGTAACAACTGAGTCTCCCGCTTGGGTTGCAGGGGGTGGACATGACAAGCAAGGCGTTACCCAATGCAAAGTCAGCATTTTCTGTTACATTTCCTGTAAGTAAGTGGCATCAGACAGTACAAAACCTGGAACGTTGTGGCGATGTGGCACGGCTGGCGCCATGCCCGGATTCAGCCGGAGGGGAAGAGCACAGGTCGTAATAACGGAGCAGCTGCGCTTCCTTGGGGCGGTGCAGCACTTGTACCTCAGCAATCTGGTCTTCTACGTCTGCCAGGACTGGGCCAGGTCGTATGGTGGTTTCTGCGATGGGTGTCCAATACAGGAGGCTAAAGAGCTGCCAATAGAATCCACTTCTAGTGATTTAGAACAGGCTGGTTCTTAGTATGGAATGAGGGAGGGAAGGAGGTACCCTACATAATCCCTTACAGGGTATATTGTAGGGCCCTAATTCCCTCATTCCCTACTAAGAACCAGGGGACAAAACGGCCCAAAGTACCCCCTAAACCCTAAACCCTAAACCCTAAACCCTAAACCCTAAACCCTAAACCCTAAACCCTAAACCCTAAACCCTAAACCCTAAACCCTAAACCCTAAACCCTAAACCCTAAACCCTAAACCCACTCTAACTGCAGAGACCACGCCGGGCCGCTTCAGGCTCGCGGCACTTGTGCTTCTACGAACACCTTGGTAGCCCACTGGAAACCGTTAAACCCTAAACCCTGAAAAAGAAACCCTAAACCCTAAACCCTAATCCCTGCTGGTTGGGCGTCGTGGGCGCCTGATTCCTCCGCTTGGCCCGTCTCCTGCGAGCCTCTCCAGTAGCGAACAGGCTTCTGAGGGTCTAGCCTAATTAAGTAAACCCTAAGCCCTAAGCCCTAAGCTCTAAGCTCTAAGCCCTAAACCCTAAACCCTAAACCCGAAACCCTAAACCCTAAACCCTAAACCTCCAAGCCCTGGACATAAGTCTGCAGTGGGCTCTCCAGGAGGGATGCCGGGACCTCACCGACGCAGTGCGTGCTTCGACTCGTGGTAGGGTTTAGGGTTTAGGGTTTAGGGTTTCGGGTTATGGTTCAGGGTTCAGGGTTTAGGGTTTATATGGAGTTTAGGGTTTAGGGTTTAGGGTTTAGGGTTTAGGGTTTAGGGTTTAGGGTTTAGGGATAGAAAGGGTGTAGGGTGTAGGGTTTAGCTAAGGCTGAGAGACCTTCCGCAGCGTAAGACGGTGGATACGAAGCTAGATGCAATGCGAGAAGGGTTTTGAAAGGTGGGTGCAGGGTTTCGGGATGAGGGGATTAGGTTGGGATGTTCCCCCACTTTGCTAACAGTCCTTAATAGGGATTATAGTACCCCCTATTATCATCCCCAAAAAAAGATTGTTTGTATGAAGGGGAATATCCCAAGGTTCAGGGTTTTCGTGTTCAGGGTTTGTGGGGCGTTTCGGGCCGGTTTGGGGTTCTGAGCTGTGTTCTGACGTCGGGTGTAGGGCAGCCTTCGATTCAAGTTTCATGAGTGGGAATGGGGTAGTCGGTATCCCACATAAGGCTACAGCCAGGTAAGACTATCCCTAAACCCTAAAACCCTAAAACCCTAAAACCCGAAAACCTTAAAACCCTAAAACCCTAAAACCCTAAAACCCTAAAACCCTAAAACCCTGAAACCCTGAAACCCTGAAACCCTAAACCCTAAACCCTATACCTACCCCACTCAGAGTCCCACCTACTTGTCTCGCTTCTCATGCGCCGGTCAGCGATTCTGAGGCTCGAGGACTGGTCCCCCGAAACCCTAAACCCTAAACCCTAAAGCCTAAACCCTAAAGCCCCTAAAAAAAAACTGAACTTAAAAACCCTAAACTTCACAACCCTAAACCCTAAACCCTAAACCCCTCCGTCCCGCCCCTGAGGCTTCGGCATGGACTACAGCTACGCGGCTGTGACGTTCGGCCACTACAGCGCCCTGCTTCAGGTGTTTAAGGCTTTTTTTGGTGCGGGCGGTGCCCGAAACTATGTGCCCCCTGATACTAACAGTCCTTGGTAGGGATGATAATAATGGGTACTAAAATCCCTAATACGGACTGTTAGTAGAAGGGGGGGCATCATCGGATTCTTAAGGGAGGGGGTTCATGGGGTAAGTACCCAGGGAACTTTAGAGATTAGGCCCTTCAAGCACCCTATAACTACACCCTCTAAACCCCTAATCCCCCCTGAACCCCTAAACTCTAAACCATAAACCCCAAACCCCTAAGCCCCTAAGCCCCTGAGCCCCTAAACCCCAAATCCTAAACCCTAAACCCTAAACCCTAAACCCTAAGCCCTAAGCCCTAAACCCTAAACGAGTTGCAAGGCCTGGACCCCGCCAAGAGAGTCAGCGTCCTGTCGCCGGTGACCCATGCGCCCCTGGGGCCGTTTAGGATTGAGGGTTTAGAATTGGGGTTTAGGGTTTAGGGTTTAGGGTTTAGGGTTTAGGGTTAAGGGTTAAGGGTTTAGGGTCCCAGTTGCAAAAAGGGTTTAGGGTTAAGGGTTGCCCAGCTGATAGTGCAGAGCCCGGGTTCAAAAAAGACAAAAAAGGGTTTAGGGTTCAGGGATTGGGGTTTGGGATTGGGGTTTAGGGTTTAATTTAGAGTTCAGGATTTACGGTTTTGGGGTTTTGAGGTTCAGGGTCTAGTTTAGGCTTCAGTGCATCTGGTGATGCCCGGTGTGAGACCTGGATGCAGAAGGGTCCAGTCTAGCGATTGGGGTCTAGGGTTTAGGTGCAAAAAGGGATTTTGGGGTTTAGGTGTATAGGGTTTAGGGTTTAGGGTTCATGGGGTTCAGGGTTTAGGAGTCAGGGTTCGGTTTAGGATTTGGGGTTTAAGGTTTGGCGTGGGCCGGGTCGGAGGTTCAGGCCAGTGGCTTCAGAGTGTTGCGGGGCTTCAAGGGGTCTGAGGCCTTTAGGGGGGTTTAGGGTTTAGGGTTCAGGGTATAGGGTTTAGGGTTTAGGGTTTAGGGTTTAGGGTTCAGGGTAGAGGGTTTAGTGGGCTTTAACGGGTGAAAGGGTTCAAGGCTGCAAGGGTTCAAATGTTTCGGGGGTGGGCGGGGGGTTGTCTAGGCTGTCGGCTCATTCAGCTTCCGCCGGGTTTAAGGCTTCACATGGAGCCAAGGGGCTGAAAGCGCGGAGTCTGAGGAGTTTGGGATGTGCGGGGTTTGGTTTTGAGCGTCAGTTGGGATGTTCCCCCTTAAACTAACAGTCCTTAATAGGGATTGTAATGGTGGGTACTATAACCCCTATGAAGGACTGCTAGTAATAAGGGGGCACATCCCAAGGTGTCAGGCTCAAAACCGGTGGTGATCTTCCGACCGAGATCCTTCGCGTTGAAGGGTGCCTCCTCGTCTCCCTCCCTGTTTCAGCTCTTCCCAAAACGCATCCCTAAAACCTAAACCCTAAACCCTAAACCCTAAACCCTAAACCCTAAACCCTAAATGGGAGATGCTAGGTAGGAATCCTAAACCCTAACTCTAAAACCCCAACAACGCCGTTCAAACCCTAAACGTAGGATGTTCCACCTTATACGAACAGTCCATCATCGGGATTGTAGCACCCCCCCAGTATCATCGCTATTGAGGACTGCTAGTATAAGGGGGAGCATCCCAACCCTAAGCCCTAAACCGAGGACCAATCTTCGCAAGTCCTTGGACCAGTCGCACAGGCAGCTGCCCAAGGGGTTTTAGGGTTTAGGGTCTAGGGTTTAGGGTTTAGGGTTTGGGGTTTAGGGTTTGGGGTTTAGGGTTTGGGGTTTAGGGTTTAGGGTTCCAGAGGTCCAAGGTGTTCGAAGAGGTCGGGATGCAAGAAGAGGTCTCGGAGGTGACCAGGCGTGCCCTACCACATCCACCGAACGAATGAGAGCTCGGTTGAGAGCAGGATGGGTGGGTTTAGGGAGGGTTTAGGATTTAGAGTTTAGGTTTTAGGGATCGAGGGTTAGCGATCGCTGCAATGTGATTATTGCTACTATTGTAATCATGACTATAGTACCATGATAGCATTACTCTCTAGGCTGCAGGGCTCGTGGGGAAGTAGGCCTAAACCCTAAACCCTAAACCCTAAACCCTAAACCCTAAACCCTAAACCCTAAACCCTAAGCCCTAAGCCCTAAGCCCTAAGCCCTAAGCCCTAAACCCAGCAAGGGTTCGCAAACTTGTTGAGAGGCATTGGCTGACGCGCGACGTGCGGGGCCTGTCGCCCACCTCGGACATCAACGGCTGCTTCGACAAGGGGCCGGACCAGTTCTTCCCTGGCCGCACCTTGCCCGCCCAGCTCCAGTTCTTGACACCTAAGTCTCTGAACCCTAAACCCGAAACCCGAAACCCTAAACTCTAAACCCCAAAAACCCTAAACCCTGAACCCTAAACCCTAAACTCCAAGCCCTAAACCCGCGGCCCTCAGATCTCGCTGCAGAAACCCTAAGACTTTGAGCACAGCCCCAAACCCGAAACCTCAAAATTCCTGAACCCTGCAGAGACCCCAAAAGCGCTGAAATTTCTGAACCCGACGCCTGAAACTCCTCAAAAGGCAAGTCTGGGTCAAGCTCGGGGTTTAAGGTTTAGGGTTTAGGGCTTAGGACTTAGGACTTAGGCAGCGCCTGAGAGAGAGAGAGAGAGAGAGAGTTTAGGGTTTAGGGTTTCAGGTTTAGCGTTTAAGACTGTTTAAGTTAAGACTCTGAGGTTTCCAGAAGACCGGAGCCCTCGAACCTTCCCCATACTACTTGCAGCACCTGGAGCAGAAGGTGGGCACAGAGTCGGCCCTTGTTCGCTCTTTTCGGGTAAGCTTAGGGTTTAGGGTTTGGGGTTTAGGGTTTAGGGTTTAGGGTTTAGGGTTTCGGGTTTCGGGTTTCGGGTTTAGGGCTACTAGGACCTAGAGTAGGCCCTCATTCCCTTTTTTTGGAGGGTCCAGGTCCCCTTCTCAGCCCCTGAGGTTCCTCTTGGGTCTTGGTAGGGGCACTGTGGGATGTTTTGTTGGGCGCGTCTTCTTTGCTTGGCAGGATGCCCAGAAGGGACACGTCTTTCTCAAAGTTGATGCTTCAGACCCCAGACCCACCTCCCAGACCCACCTCCCGCACCCTTCGAGAGCTTGGGGTTGAGGGTTTAGGGTTTAGGGTTTAGGGTTTAGGGTTTAGGGTTTATTCCCGGCCGACTCCCCAAGCCCGGATGCAAAAAAAAAAGGGTTTAGGGTTTAGGGTTTAGGGTGGTCCATGGTGGATGCTGAAACGACATTGCCCTGAGCTTCCTGAAAGGTGCTGCGCGCGGATGCCGAAGAGTGCCCTGTCACATGGTATTTCCCCGAAAACCCTCCACAGCATCGCAGGATTACTACAGGAAACCCCGCATGTTGGCAGTCCAAACCCATAAATCCCCAAACCCTTGAACCCCTGAACCTGAAACCCTTGAAACCGCAGCTTATGCGGAAGCCAGGAGGACCAGCTGTCATGGCTTCTACAATCGACATCTGGGGCGAACATAGGGTCCTTTGAGGGGTTATATGTTTGTGGAACTTCTTTTTTGGGGAAGTACCCAACTCTTACCAACCGCCTAAACGCTAAGCCCGAAGCCCTAAACCCGAAACCCAGCTAGTACTTAAGTACCTGACGCATAGGTACGTGTGTCACCTGAAGAGACCTACTAGTAGCCTGCCTTAGCATTGCCTGCCTTGTGCGGTGTTGAGTCGAAGCCCAGCCCGTAGAAGGATGAAACCCTGAACCCTAAACCCTAAACCCTAAACCCCTATAGGCCTTAACTTCACCCTGAGCATCCCAAGGATCGCTGCCGCACTCTCCAGGGCATCGCAGCCGGACCTCAACGCCTGGGATGGTGGCTCGGCTGAAACGTTCCGGGTTTAGGGTTTAGGGTTTCGGTGTGGTTCGGTGTAGGGTTTTCGGGTTGATTTTTAGAGTCTAGGGTTATCCATGTGCGCATGGCGAACAAAAACAAAGTTTGCGTCAATTTCTTAGCGAAGTGTGAGAGCACAGGCTGTTGAATTCTCAGGGTGAAGGGTCCTAAACCCTAAACCCTAAACCCTAAACCCTAAACCCTAAAGGAGTCAGTTGAGTTCCAGGGGTTTGGAGTGCTCGGACATCCATTGCATGCCTTGCGGATTCAGGGTTTGGGATTCAGGCCCTACCCTAAACCCTAAACCCTAAACCCTAAACCCTGCATGGGGCTTGGTTGCTGGGAAGCCATGAAGAAGGAAGTGTGGAGAATTGGGAGCCGAACTAGTGTGGAGAGTCCCTTCAAGGTAGGATGTTACGAAAATAGGAGACCCCCCAGTATAGGTCCCCAAATAGTAGGATTCCCCTTTTTTTTGAGGACCCTAATGTAGGTAGCCCTAATTTCGCAAACCCCCATGTTGTTCATCCAGCTATGCCCCAAGATTCTTCTGACCAGCTCTGCTTCTGCCAAGGGCGAGGCGAGACCCTTCTGCACAAGGCTGCGACAAGGCCCAGACCAGGGTCTTCAGGTCTTGGTAGCCCGGTGGGTACCCTTTTTGCCCCTTTTTTAGGTTCTACGCCCCCCTTATAAATTAGCCAACCCCAAGAAGGGTACCCTTGTTATAATATGGTTGGGCTACCAAGAGGTTCTGCTTCTAATCCCCATGACTTGCGCCTCACACCCGGCTACCCCCCAAGTATATAGTATGTGCAGTTGGAGTACCGGCCCCACAAAGACATGACTCCTTGTGAAGCCCCACGAACCTTCTCCAGTAAGGCCCAAGGGCCAAGAAACAAGGATCTCCATCTACACAGCCCGGGAAGCAGCGAATGCGGATCTGGGTTTGGCTTGGTCTGTGCTTTGAAGAATGGCCTCCCCTGCATGGGCCCCTAAACCCGAAACCTGAAACCTAAACCCTAAACAACCTGCGGCCAGATATTTTTGCTATTGATCCGACACATGCCTGGCTCGGTGATCGCGAGAGCGAAGCCCGACCACTTTCCGGAAAGCCTTAAAACCCTAAGCCCGAAACCCTAAAACTCTAAACCCTAAACTTCCCTAAACCCCTAACCCCTAAAACCTAAGCCCTAAACCCGAAACCCTAAACCCGGCAGGGGCCGGCCGGAAGTCATGGCGCCGCTCGTGCTGGCGGCGGCGGACGCGCGCCTTGGCAGCGCTAGGAAGTGATCCAGGAGCCGAGGATCCCTACACAGAGGCTTTAGGGTTTAGGGTTTGGGGTTTAGGGGTTTAGGGTTTAGGGTTTAGGCTTAGGGTTTGGGGTTTGGGGTTTAGGGTTCAGGGTTTGGGGTTTAGGGTTCAGGGTTCCAGGCTTCCAGGTACCAGTTGTGGCGGTCAGGTACCAGTTGCGGCAGAATGGATGGCAGGATTGACTTGTCGATTTGGCGGCGAGGAAGGGGTGCTGCAGGCTTGACTCGCCAGACGGACACCGAATCAAACCCCCACCTTTTGCTTCCTCAACCCAAAACACGTCTGTGAAAGTTCTCAGCAAGGGTTTAGGGTTTAGGGTCTGGGGTTTGGGGTTTGGGGTTTAGGGTTTAATGAGGCTTAAACCCTGACTTCGTAGCTGATAGAGTACACTTTACACTTTTTGGGATACTCTAATCCCTGATAGAACTGAAAGTGTACCCTTTTTTTGAGGCTCATGAACCCAGCAACTGAGTTGAACCGCCAACTACACCCAGTTTCCTTGGGATGAGGAACTGCCGGGCGAAAGATGGGCGGCGTCCCCTGGACCATGTCCCGCGGGGCCCGGGCAACGACCTTGCGCGGGCGTTGCTGATGCTGGCGGGCGGAGAGGATCGCAGAATCCCCAAGCCCTAAACCCCAAGGCCCTAAACCTTAAACCCGAAGCCCTAAGCCCTAAACCCAAAGGAAGCATGAGCCAAGAGTTGGGTTTCCCCCCCCCCCCCCCCCCCCCCCCCCGCCCCCTGGTGACGGTGTGTCGCCGAGACCCGCCAAGCCATCCCTCCGAGAGGACAATGTGCCCCTGGCGGAGATCATGCGGCTTGGCAAAGCTACACGCCGGACTCATGCCATGGGCTTGGGGACCTGAGGGAAGCCTGCCTAAACCCTAAACCCTAAACCCTAAACCCGAAACCCGAAACCCGAAACCCTAAACCCTAAACCCTAAACCCTAAACCCTAAACCCTAAACCCTAAACCCTAAACCCTAAACCCTAAACCCTAAACCCTAAACCCTAAACCCTAAGCCCTAAGCCCTAAACCCTAAACCCTAAGCCCTCAACGCATCAGACAGTCTGCAAGGAAAGTGGTGGAGGCTGTGCCGGAGCCATGGAGGTGGCTTTTTAGGGCTTTCAGGCTTCAAGGCTTTAGTCTCAGGAGGGTTTAGGGTTTAGGGTTTAGGGTGTTGATGCAACCCTTGCTAAAGGCAAGAAGGCCCTGCTTTCAGGTGTTGCCGGAAGCCTCCTCAGCCCGTGCTTAAAAAGGGTTTAGGGTTTGGGGCTTAGGTTTTAGGGTTTAGGAAACATCATAGCCCGGATGCAAAAAGGAGTGGTTTAGGGTTTTAGGCCTGGATGCAGAAAGGAAAGTCTCAAGAGGGTGGCTTAGGGGGCCATTTTTGGGTGCATGAGGCTTCAGAATACCGAAGGCACTAGCTTAAGCAGGTTTCCCTGCTTGTATGGGCCCTGACTAAGGGCCCTTACCTCCCTTAAAGGGTTCTGACTCTGATGTGTGGGCCCTTAGTTTGTGTAGGGTATACAAGGGGTATACAAGGGGTCCCCTTTTAAGGAAGCCCCATATGAACGGACCGTGTAACTTCCCTTGGATTGAAAAGGGTGTTTAGAGCAATCGCCCACAAAGAACAGGGGGCATTGGGTTCGGAAGCTTGGTAGCCCCAGTGGTGCCCTCTGTTTGTTTTTTTCGTCCCTTTTTGGGTTAGGGTTTAGGGTTTAGGGTTTAGGGTTTAGGGTTTAGGGTTTAGGGTTTAGGGTTTAGGGTTTAGGGTGTGAGTGGCGGTGCTGCATGTGTTCTGGCTGACCAGTGGCAAAAAGGGTTTAGGGTAAACCGTCCTAAACCCTCGCTATAGCCTCCGCTTCCCCTGAACCCCTCTGATATTCTGGTTATCTACTGCTTGCTGAAGACCCCCCTAAAAAGAAAAGACCCTCATCCTTATATCACCCTTATAAGATTCTGTTTTTTTTTTTGGGCGGGGGGGGGGGTGGGGGTGGGTTCAAGTAAATAGTAGTTACTGGGGCGAGCAAGTAAGGTTCGGCTCGGCTCAGGGAATTCGCGGAGTTTAAATCCCCAAAACCTGGACCCTGCCAGATCCTAAGCCCTGAAGCCTCGGCAGCCCAGTGGTACCATTTTTTTTTTTTTGGCTCTGGGTTCCCTCTTGTAAAGTAACGAACCAAAAAAGGGTGCCCCTATTATGATATGGTTTCTGGGCTACCGGGAAGCCCTGAAGCCTTTTTAGGGTTTAGGGTTTAGGGTTTAGGGTTTAGGGTTTAGGGTTTAGGGTTTGCCTTAAAGCCCTGAAACCTTGAAGGCGGCAGCTCTGCAGCCGCTTTGGCCTTGCCACGGTCCCAGACATTTGGATCGCGCCGGCGACAGAAGGCTGGATTTCAGTTTTCAGGCCCTTGTGGTTGGAATTTAAGCTGTAGGGTGAGGGTTTCGAGTTTCGGGGTCTAGGGGCGGGAGTTTAAAGCTTTGGGGTGTTCAGTTGTCTGGCTTGCTGTGGTACTTTTGTGTGTTTTAGCTTGTGTGGGTCATGGATACACATGACCCTCTGCAGCACCACGCAGGGGCAACAGGTCGCCCCAAAGTTGGGCTCGTGTATTAGACTCTCCCTCTGGTCTGGGTGAGCTTGGGGTCGGTCGTGGCAAAGCTACCCCTAAACCCTAAACCCCTAAACCCTAACCGAAACCCCTAAACCCTAATCCCCTCAAGCCCTAAACCCCTAAACGCCTAAACCCCTAAACCCCTGACGCCCCTGAACCCCTAAACCCGAAACCCTAAACCCCTACAGACTAAACTCCTAACTAAACCCCTACACCCTAAACCCCTCAAACCCTAAGCCTAAAGCCCTGAACCCTCAACCCCTAAACCCAAAACCCCGAAGCCCCTCAACCCCTATACCCTAAACCGTAAAACTCTGAACCCCTAACACCTTCTAAGTTCCGAACACCGCAGGGCGCCTTGCAAAGTCGGCGCAGTTCCTCTTTGCCCCGAGCCTCGACGAGGCAAGCTTCGGGACTGGGATGGCGTTGGGGTGTAGGGCTTTAGGCCCCCGAGCCGGTCGCCCTAAACCCTAAACCCTAAACCCTAAACCCTAAACCCTAAACCCTAAACCCTAAACCCTCAACCCTAAACCCTAAACCCCAAACCCTAAACCCTAAACCCTAAACCCTAAACCCGAAACCCTAAACCCCAAACCCCAAACCCCAAACCCCAAACCCCAAACCCCAAACCCTAAACCCTAAACCCTAAACCCTAAACCCTAAACCCTAAACCCTAAACCCTAAACCCTACAAGGAGGCGGCCGCCACGCCGGGAGCTCAGGAGGCGCTGGCGGCCCTGCGACGGGGCATCCGGAGGCCGCAGGAGGCGGGGCTGGGATGGGGCGTGAGGTTTCGTTTGGGGTTTAGGGTTTAGGGTTTAGGGTTTAGGGTTTAGGGTTTAGGGTTTAGGGTTTAGGGTTTAGGGTTTAGGGTTTAGGGTTTAGGGTTTAGGGTTTAGGGTTTAGGGTTTAGGGCTTGATGGAAAAGATTGTTTCACAAAAGCCCTCTTCTGCAAGTCGTTTTTTAGGGGGGTTCTATAAGGGGTTTAAGGGCCCAGGGGTCTCAGGATTCCGGTTAGTTCGCCCTAACCCCTTAACCCAAAGCCCTCATTCTGGTAGGCCCGACCGCATGTGCGCCCATGTCAGGAACGTCGTCAGTTGTTGCGGCGCCTGCTTCGTGAATGGCACCCGGACAAGTTCCAGACGTTGAGCCAGGAAAGTGTCATTGTAGCTTGCATTGGCTTGCGTTGCTGTAGTGCTTATTTTTTGGGGCTTTTAAGCAACTAGTAGATCAATGATCTAGTGCCAGCAGGAGAAGCAAGAACACGCAAACACTGTCTTCTGCTTCATCCAGCGCTTTCGCGCCATCTTCTTGGGCGAGGAGACCAATCTGTGCTTCAGCGCGCGCCGCGGTCGCGCCCGGCGCTGCAACCTGTATAGGGTGCAACAATTAAAGTGCTTGCCCTAAATCCTAAACCCTAAACCCTAAACCCTAAACCCTAAACCCTAAACCCTAAACCCTAAACCCTAAACCCTAAACCCTAAACCCTAAACCCTAAACCCTAAACCCTAAACCCTAAACCCTAAACCCTAAACCCCAACCCTGAACCATCTTTGCAAGTCCTGCAGGAGGCATGAGGTGAATCAGAGACCCACTTCGCCGTACCCAGAGTGGCGCAGTCAGGGACATCTCGCCGGAGCACCCTCCGCGCTGCAGAGCTGATTGGTCACCTTGTGGGTTTCGGGTTTGGGGTTTCGGGTTTAGGTGGGTTAGGGTTTAGGGTCTGGGGTTTGGGGTTTAGGGTTTAGGGTTTAGGGCTTAGGGGTGTGGCAGTTGCCTCAGATTTGTTCACCAAGGCCTTCGACTTCAGCGTCGAGGCCGACGCGCAAGATGGTGGCAAGAGCTGCAAGCCGATCCCCGATGAGTTCTTGAACGCGCTTGCTGGAGCAAGCGGGGAAGGCGAGCTGCCGGGATCCGCGTCGCGGTGTGCTCCGGTGGCCTACAGCGCCGAAGGCGCAAGAAGGCGCTGGAGGCGCAAGAAGGCGCTGGAGCGGTAGAGATTGGGATGTTAGCCCTTAAACAGCAGTCCTGAATCGGGATTTAAAATGGGGGGGGGGCACTCTCATCCCCATTCAGGACTGTTCGTATCAGGGGGAACATCCCGAGGTAGGGTCATGCCGCAGCCAATCGAATCCGAGTGTTCCGGCAGAAAAACTACCAAGTGCTTAAGAGCTCCGGAAAAAATGATTTTCCTTATTCAGGTTAATGTAGGGAATATTATTTGTTTCTTCTTTTGGGGTTCTTAAGCAAATCATAGAAAAGGGTGCTCTCTTAGCTTGGCTGCTCCAAGCCGAGTGAAAGGGCGCGCATCTTGCCACCCGAAGCCCAAAAACCCCAAATCCCAAACCCTGGTGGGGAGCGATCAAACCCTCAACCTTAAATCCCATAAACCCTAAACCCTAAACCCTAAGCCCTAAGCCCTAAGCCCCAAACCCTGAAGCCGCGGCGCTTTGCCATTGGCTTCCGACCGAGGATATGCAGCAGATCTCCGAGGTGCCACCCCTGAGTTCACCTTAGGGTTTAGGGTTTAGGGTTTAGGGTTTCGGCGCAGTCTAGGTTCAAAAAAGGGGTTTAGGGTTTAGGGTTTCTGGGCCTGTGGAGGGACTCCTTTGCTTGGTTTTTTAGGTGCCCCAAAAGCTCCTGTAGACCCGAAACAGCCCCTGAAATCCCGAAACTCCGAACCCGAAACAAACCCTAAACCCCGAACCCTAAACCCTGAACCCTGCAAAAGAAGCAGCCTGAACTCAAAACCCAAAACCTACACCCCAATTAAACCCTAGGCCCTGAACCCCAAACTGGGGCAGGAGGCACTAAGTCCAACCCTGAAGCCCTGCAACCTTAAACCCTATTGACCTATTCCTCTCCGGATACCAGAAGCAGCGCCGAGTCATCCTAAAGCAAGGCCCTCAATCCCTAAACCCTAAACCCCAAATCTTAAACCCTAGACCCTAAGCCCTGGCGACTCAAGTGTTCTCAGCCTTTCTACTGTGCGAGGCTTTTCGGCGCTTTGACAAGGACACCTCTGGCCGGGGGTCCTACGTAGGGTTTAGGTTTTCGGGTTTAGGGTTTAGGGTTTAGGCAAGGTCTGGTCAGCAAGTCCAGCACCAACAAGTGGGCCGAATGATCCCCTTAGTTTCAGGAATGGACCTGAAAATTCGATGGGAATCCTGGCTTTGAAGCCTCTCAATTGAGGACTCTGGCTCTAAAGCGAAGAATGCCAAGCCCCCAACGCGAGTTGAGGGTTGACTTCTTAAACCACTCAAACCCTAAACCTTAACCCTAAACCCTTAACCCTAAACTCTAAACCCTAAACCCTAAACGCCACAGACCTTGCTGCAAAGAAAAGGGTTCAGGGTCCAGGGCCCGTCCTTTAGATCAACCCGGGGCATGAGTCGCTTCAGCTGTGCACTTCGTCACCCCGCAATGTCGCACGGGCCATGGACGCTCGGGTTCCAAGGGTTTGGGGTTTAGGGTTTAGGGTTTAGGGTTTAGGGCTACTAGGACCCAGAGTGGGCCCTTATTCCCTTTTGGGGGGACCTAGATTTCCGATGAAACACCATCTCAACCAAAAAGGGCACCCTGTTATTCCTAGGTTACTCTGGGGCCCAGTTCTAATCCCTGACATGGGAGTTGATACGTTCATAAGAGCCCCCCGAACCCCCCGAAATCCCTGCCTCAAAGGCTTCCTAGACGCGACGGAGTGCCGACACATGTGCGCATACCTCGGGACTCAGCCTCAGAAAGCCCAGAGCTTCGGCATAGCGCTCAGAGATCTTGCCGTGAAAGGACATCCCTAAACCCTAAACCCCAAACCCCGAAGCCTAAACCCCAAACCCTAAACCCTAACCCTAAACCCTAAACCCTAAACCCTAAACCCTAAACCCTAAACCCTAAACCCAAAACCACCATTTTTCGTTGTAGCGGTGGAGTCGGAGACATGGAGCAAGAGGCCCCTTGCTTGCCTAGCTGCGCCATTGTGCTTAGATTCCTTCGCAGATGTGGCTTTTTTGTATATCAGGAACCTTGGAGGTGGAACAATAAACACAAGCCCCAACCCCAAGAAGCTCGAAAGCAGGCCGGCCCCGGTAAGCCTAAACCCTAAACCCTAAACGCTAAACGCTAAACGCTAAACCGTAAACCCTAAACCCTAAACCCTACACCCTAAACCCTAAAACCTAAACCCTGAACCCTAAACCCCAACCTGAAAGCCAAGAAGCCCAAAATCCTGGTGAGGGCATGTCGGAGAAGCCTCAGATATTCTCATGGAGACCCTCACCCCCTAACCCTACATAAACCCCTAAACCCCCAAAAAACCCTAAACGCTAGGAGACCGAAGCCCCCTTAGCAGCCTAAGGTGGGGCTCGGAGGGATGGAACTTGTTCATGAGCAAGGACCAGGTCTGGCATCCCGGGAGTGGAAGGTTCTTGAGCATGGACATATGTATATATGTACATACCTACATATATCTATATATATGTATATACTTCTATTTCTGTCTATGTGTGTGTGTATATGTGTGTATAGATATATGTACATGTCTGCATGTATATGAATGTATACATATATGTGTATATGTATATGTATATATATATATGTCTTCCAAGCACAGTGTTGATGAAACGATGGCGCGATTCGGTTGGCCCAAGGGGGAGGGCCGAGCGCCACGCAGCCGCCTTTGTTTTTCGCTGCGGGCACGATTCTGGGTTTCCATGCATCGAGAGTTCGGATGAGGTTACGGTCAAAGTAGGTTCAAGAAGCGGCCGCCTTGCAACGAGCCTGCCCCACGCACGCGCCCAACCAAGAACAGAGCCATGGCCTTCTTCTCGCGCCTGGGGCCGCGCCTCGCCGGCGGCGTGCTGGCAGGCTGATGTGTTGGCAGTTAGCTGAGAGCGTGTGGAGGATTGTTCTTAAGTGCCCTAGGGCTTATGGTTTAGGGCCCTAAACCCTGCACCCTGAACCCGAAACCCTAAGCCCTCAACCCTAGACCCTAAACCCTATACCCTAAACCCTAACCAAACCATGGTCGGAAGGCGGTGGTGCTGCCTTCGCAGCCCAGCAGTGGCACTCCAAAGGACGCCCGTCAGAAACGGAGTACTCCTCAATGCTCCCGCAGGGTTTAGGGTTTAGGGTTTAGGGTTTAGGGTTTAGGGTTTAGGGTTTAGGGTTTAGGGTATAGTGTCCCTATTCAGGACTGTCAGTATAAGAGGGAACATCCCAAATAGCATCCTTCATCTGGTTCAGGGAAGGCTCCTTCATATCGGGCTCTTGGTCAAGCCCTGAACCCTAAACCCTACACCCTAAACCCTAAACCCTAAACTTCGGGCCTAGGCCGCCCCCCACGTTGGGGGGCGGCGCCTAAGCCCTTCGACCTCGATGGCGCAAGCCGACCCAGCTCCTTCGCCCGCCTCCCACCCACATGGGGACTGGTACCGGAGCACGTTCTTGTTCTTGGGCCCAGTGGTGGTCCCATTCTTAGAGCAAATACCCTAAACCCCCCCCCCCCCCTGGGCGCGGCCCTCCCTGAGTCCACCCCACTTGGCCATTTTCCGGTCTGTGCCCTCCTGGGCCCCCCCTGCCTCTCACCTTCCGCCTCTCTGGGTGCTGTGGAGGGTTTTTTTTTTTTTTTAAATTTCTTTTTTGTGAACCTGCATTTTGAACCATGCTAGCGATCACCGTGACGGAATGAAGAAGTTACATGGAAAGTAAACAGTTGGCTTGAGTTTAGGCCTAAACCCTAAAAGGAAGGGCTTTGGGTGGCTTGCCGCCTCGGACGGCGTGGGGTGGGAGAAAAGTGTTGGATGGCCCTCCACAAGCGGGCCAAAGCTGCTCTTCGCCTCACGAAACTTTCGAGCTTGTTCCAAAGCCTAACCTTCACAGCATCTACGCCCTATCACAGCAACCCTAACCCTAAACCCTAAACCCTAAACCCTAACCCTAACCCCCCTAAACCCTAAAACCCTAAACCCTAAACCCTAAACCCCTAAACCCTAAACCCTAAACCTAGACCCTAAAACCCTAACCCTATCTTTGCCCTCCGCATCGTGCAGGATCGCGCTGCGAGATGACCACGTTGACGCGCATCTCCTACACCTCAACGATGCCTCCGGGCCGCATTTACTTGCTTGAGGTTTATCTGCTATTTGCTTAAGAACCCCCCCAAAATAGAAAGAATCATCCCTATGTCCCTTATAAGGCGATTTTTTGGGGGGGTTCTTAAGCAATTGGTAGTTATGGGTGCCTGGGTACTGGGTACATCCGCTCCCCCCGCCCCCCCCCCCCCCCCCCCCCCCCCCCCCCCCCCCCCCCCCCCCCCCCCCCCCCCCACGCTCCCCCCCTTCTGCGCCTAGGCGCGGGGACCCTCAGAAAGCCTCGCGGCAGATGGAGGAGATCGTTGCCAAGCCGGGGCCTTTTCTTTACCAGGTTTTATTGGGGTTTAGGGTTGAGGGTGGAGGGTTTAGGGTTAGGATTTAGGGCCTTTTCTCTACCAGGTGTTATAGGGGTTTAGGGGTGTGGGGGTTGCAGTCCCTCCTCAAAAAGGGGTTTAGGAGGTTAGGGCCGTTAGGGCGTAGAGTGTAGAGTTTAGGGGTTTAGGGTTTTTGGGTTGGGGTTTCAGGGGTTGAGGGCTTAGGGTCACATAGGCCTGCATGGCAAAAGTGGCTGTGGGGGTTTAGGGGTTTCAGGTCATCGCTCCAGTTGCTGATGTTAGCCTACGGTCTTTTTTGCGCGTGCTTTGTCCGGTCGTGCACTTGGAGGTCCATGGGTGTAGCTAGGACTGGTTGCGTATCTGGGGCACAGAAAGTTTCTGTCATAGCTACCCATGAACCTCCAAGGCGCTGTCTAAGATGAGGGTTAAGGGTTTAGGGGTTACAAAAGTGAGCATAGCTGAGATGCCCCAGGACTTTCTGCCCCGACTCAGGTCCGTGAAAAGCAACCTGTCCTGTCAAGTCTCGGGCCACATGTGCTGCTTGGCCGCTTTAGGTTTTAGGGTTCGGGGGTTTCGAGGTTTGGGTGCAAAAGGTGTCCGCCACCCTAAACCCTGAACCCTGAGCCCTAAACCCTAAACCCTAAGCCCTAAACCCTAAACCCTAGACCCTAAGTGTGGGAGCTGGCAGTCTTTGACCTGCGACGGCATGGATGTGCGGGCAAGCTGGTGAAGACCTTTGTGGCAAAACCCTGAACCCTAAACCCTAAACCCTTAACCCTGAATCTGGAATGTCTTGGCTATGTGCATTCATGGCAAATTAGCCAACCGAATGTAAGGACCCTAGTATTGAGAATATTGTTCTCTGGGTTTTTTCTAGTGCTTTTATATAGGGATGGTAAGGAAATACGATTAATGATCGTTCCAAATCGCGGACAAGGTGAAGGCAAAGAAGCTCCAGCGCTTGTTGCGGTTTCTGCTCACACCTCGGCCTGCTTGTGTTCTCTTATTTTTCTCTTGTTGTTGTATCTTCCATTCTTGCGGCCACTCCTACTCCGACTCTGATTTCGGCTCCTCAACTTCCGCGGCCAAGACAGAAAACTCGCTAGATTTCGTGGCTGCGGCGAACTGCGATTGCGCCCTCGGCTACTTCAAGGCTTCTGCGATTCTACGGCGGGGGTTTCTGAAGTGTCAGCTATGACTATAATATGACTTCGACTTCTTTAGGCGTGCTTGCTATGATTCCAGCTTTTCGCCTTGCGAGGCTATGATGAGAAGCTCAAGCACGTGTGGCAGGCACTCCTTTCGAGACTCTGCGTGACGGACCACCATCATATCCCAACACACGGGCAAGTTTCTGAATTAGCATGCCATCTTGGGGGGCTAGGATGCCAGTAGTACCCTTATTCCCTTTTTGGGGGGGTTTAGGTTCCCTTATAAACCCCTTTAAGCAAAAAATGACACCCTTTTTAAGCCTTGGTTACTGGGCAGCCTAGGGGGTAGGGGCCGCAAAAGGCAGACAGCTACCTTCTACTCCCCACCCAAACCCTGCCCCTCGCCCTGACTGCTCGCGCTGATGCAGGTCTTCGAGGGCAGTCCAGAAGTAGCTTGGCCGACATTGCACTAGGCACAGTCCCTAAACCCTGAACCCTGAACCCTAAACCCTAAACCCGAAACCCTAAACCCTAAACCCGAAACCCTAAACCCTAAACCCTAAACCCTTAAACCCTAAACACTAGGCTTCCATCACTTCAGGGAGTAGGGCTGTTCCACACCTGGGGTCCCTTCATAAATGCAAACTTATGTTCGGATCGCTTGCTCCCCCACATGGGTCCTCAGAAGTGGGCCCCTTCATGCATCGCATCGATCGTACCCTAAACCCGAAACCCGAAACCCGAAACCCGAAACCCTAAACCCGAAACCCGAAACCCTAAACCCTAAACCCGAAACC